GTCTCTCAAAAGACACAGTTCCAGGAAAAGTTATGCTTATCCTTAGTAATTGGTTGATTTTTACCTTGTAGATGCTGTAAATTTTGTTTCCTACTTTGTCTTGGCCACTAGGAAGCTCAAAGGTAAATCACTCATCTATCCTAGAAACCACACAAGACTACAAGGCACACATTTTTATGAATTCACTTACGCTCGGTTTTTATCCATATTTTCCTTGTGTTATAATTTTCATACCTATACACTTTACTCCATTGTTATATATCTCTTTTCACAAACTGTTTCAAGTCCTCTTAGCAATGAAATTGGGCATATTCAAACTAATTCAATGATTGTTTCAAAGGAGTTCACAGTCTTATGGGGATGAGTGATGTACAAAATTAACGTGTCCTACACAGCTCCATTTGGGATCTACAAGGCAAAATATCTAATTCTGCATTAGAGTACCTGGAATATTACTGTTACTAGTATCATTCTTAACATTAATATTTACAGGCATAATAATGATAGCAACCACCAATTGAATGTCTACCATGTTGCCTGGCACTGGACAGGTTATTTCATCTTATTTTATCTCATTTACTCTTTTATCATTTATTGCATGTAATCCCACCTATTAAATCTGTGAGATTTATCATCACATTGTCAAGGCTCATCAAGATTACTTACACAGCTACATCAGGGTACAGCTAGGTTTAAAGCCCATGTATGGGTATCACCAAAGCCCATGTTCTCATTGTTAAACGCAATGCCTCCAGAAGCTTCACAGAGAAAATGCTTAGTCTGAGACTTATATGTTGAGAAGAAAAGTTTAAAGCTGCCAAAGAGACTAAGCAGGATGAAGAGGGAGGAGGAAGAAGTTATTCCAGATGAAGGGAGTATCATGTGCACACACGGAGAAATGTGAAAATACAGAATATGCTTAGAGATTTGTAAGAGGTTCAGAATAGCAGCAATATATAGCCAGCATGGGAAAGAAAGACAGATGAGGCAGGGGTCAGACTCCAAAGAGACCTAGGCACCTTATCGAGGAAGCAGATGTTTATTATGTAAGCAATGAACAACTATAAGTCATCAGGCAAGAAAGTGAGAAGGTTAGATTCCAGCTTTTCAAATATCCCTTTCATGACTATATGGAGGATATATTAGAAAAGCATGAGGATCGAGGTGGGGAGATGACTTTGGAGGCACTTGCCACAATTCCAATGAGTGTCCAAATTGAAAGAATGGACAATGACTTTGGAGAATGGGTCTTACTGGAAAGGTTTTCAGAATTAGATAGTTTTAAGACTTGATATCATTTAAATATGCTGAATGGGCCAGGTACGGTGGCTCACATCTGTAATACCAATACTTTGGGAAGCCGAGGCAAACAAATCACTTGAGACTAGGAATTCAAGACCAGCTTGGCCAACATGGTGAACCCCATCTCTACTGAAAATATAAAACTTAGCTGGGTGTGGTGGCATGTGCCTGTAGTCCCAGCTACTTGGGAGGCTGAAGAAGGACAATTACTTGAACCAGTAAGGCTGAAGTTGCAGTGAGCTGAGATCATGCCACTGCACTCCCAGGCAACAGAGCAAGACCCGGTCTCAAAAATAAATAAATATGCAGAATGAGGGAGAGGGAAAGGTTGAGATTTAATCCAATACCCATATTCCTGGCTTGATAAACGGAGTGGACAGCAATAAGAGACTGACTGGGATAGGTCAGGAGACAGGAAGATGACAGCTATATTTTAAGTGCTTTAAGATATCAGTGTAGAGGGCTGGAGCCAGGAGAGACAGAAGAGGCATCAATTGTATGTTTGTGGTTACAGAAACTACAGGAATGAAAGGTAACACTCAGCAGCAAAACATACAAAATGAAAAAGAGCCATAAAATGCCAATATTTAAGATGCAGGCTAAAAACTAAAAACTTGAAAAGTGTGTTGAAAAGGAAGAGCAGGATGTAGGGAGAAGATCTGAAGAAATCATATCACAGAAACCAAATGTGGATAGAGTTTGAAGGAGGGAAAACTCAACAGTCTTCAATATCTTAAGAGACTAAGTATGATAAATATTGAAAACTTTTCACTGATTCTAAAATTATAATGCCATCTTTAACCTTAAACAAAGGCAGATTCAGAAAAGCAATTGGTAGACTGCAGTGGGTAGAAATGAAGACGTGGAAATAGCAAAGGCAGGCTATACTTTCAAGAATCTTGGCTGAAAAAGTTAGAATCTGGAGTAGCCCTAGCAGCCTTCCTGGTATAGGAGCAAAGACTCTAGATCTCTTCACTGAAAATCCAGGAGTGCTGATCTACATCTATAATGAGAGAGTAAGGCAGAGGAGAGGAAGCAAGGGTAACTATAACAGTATCATTAAAGTACTGTTCTTATGGTCTAAGGCAAGTAAGGAAAAGAGTAAACCCAGAGAAGCATTGATAGACATGGAGAAAAGTGAAGAGTTAGAGCAAGACAGTAGTGATTTCATGGAGTCAGAAAACAAGCCAAATAGAAGGAAGAGTCTGCGAGAGTTAAAAGATCATGTAGTTATTCTAAGAAAAGCAGAGAACATGTGATGAAGATTTGACAACAGGAAGATGTTCAGGAATTACAAAATCAAAGGTGAGATCACAGAGCTGGGTTGCTTTTATGAAGTTGGATTGGAGGTGTTGGAGTCTACAATATGGAGGAGCAGAGAAGCTGGGTCTCTCATGGGCTTTCATATAGACACTGTTATCCCTCCAGATCATGGCAAGGGTTGAAGTACAGAGAAAGACTGAGTTACTTGCCAAAGTTTTTGTGTGGGGGAATGAAATGTGTGGAAGACCCAAACAAGATAAAATAAAGTGTTTATTAATAAATATGAGTTTACATGGGGTAGGAGTGAAATTGCCTGCAAGGAAGCAACAGGAAGAGGCTAGAAGAATTCTGACTTCCTGCAGGACCAAAATAGATGGCTCGTGGAAGAACAAGCATCCTCTATTCTTTACCATTATGAAGTGATATTATGGAGCTTAGGATAAAGACAGGAGGTTCTGTGAAATGACTGAGAAATATACTTGTTACTAAGGTACTGTTTCTCAGCTTTAAAACCATGCTCTCTACTCTGTTTTTTGATTCCAGCGAGTGACTGAAAACTCTTAATACTTATTTCTGCTTTGTTAGCAGCCCCCTGTTAAGCTCTGACATTAGGGGGCACCAGAAGGAGACTGAAAGATGGGAGAAGGCACTGGGTCCTTCCTGTTTCTCTAGGATGACCTCAGAAATGTTGCTTCAACCTGGTAGTGGCTGTTTATTCCAGTAGTAGCAAGTGACTCTCATTTGTGGTTCTCATATTCCCATTCCAGCCTCATGGTTCCCTCTCAGAAACATCACTCCAGTCGTCCAGGGTCCCCTCCCTGGGGGTCTGATTCCACCTCTGCTGGGCTGCATCTCTCAGCCTCTAAATTTTAATAACCTCAACTTCTTAATACTGCATAATCCATTTGTTCACAAGTTTACATAATTTAATGTTTATGAAAATCTAATGGTTGACTACAAAATTTTTGAAAATTTAAACATTTCAAGCAAACAAAAAAATGCATAGAATATGATGAGCTTCAAGAATTCTTAACATGTTGCTATGTTTTCATTTTTAAAAGAGGAAATATTATAAGTAGAGTTGAATCCCGTTTGAACTCACTCCAGGCCACATTTCTCTCTTTTCTTCCCTCTACAGACTTGACCAATATCCTGAAACTAGCATGTATATTTCACATGTATATGTTTTACTAAGTGTATATTTATCTAAAAACAGTATACAGTATGTTTTAAATTTTGTAAAATGATATTCTCTGTATGATTATGCAACTTATATTTTCACTTATCATTGAGTTTTCTACTTGGGAGGCTGAGGCAGGAGGATTGCTTGAGTTCAGGAGTTTGAGCTTACAGTGAGGCATGCTCACGTCACTGTACTCTAGCCTGGGTGACAGAGCAAGACCCTATCAGAAAGAAAGAGAGAAAGAGAGAGAGAGAAGGAAGGAAGGAAGGAAGGAAGGAAGGAAGGAAGGAAGGAAGGAATTGAGTTCAGGAGTTTGAGCTTACAGTGAGGCATGCTCACGCTGTTTGTACTCTAGCCTGGGTGACAGAGCAAGACCCTATCAGAAAGAAAGAGAGAAAGAGAGAGAGAGAAGGAAGGAAGGAAGGAAGGAAGGAAGGAAGGAAGGAAGGAAGGAAGGAAGGAAGGAAGGAAGAAAGGAAGGAAGGAAGGAAGGAAGGAAGGAAGGAAGGAAGGAAGTTCTTCTGCTCTCATATTCTGATATTATATTTTCTCTTATATTTACTCTGAAAACTGTAAACTTTTGGTTTTCACTCCAAGATGTTGTATTTATCTAGGATTCTATGTGGATTTTTTTTCCATGTGTCTAAACTACTCTCCTACTATCATTTGTTGAGTAGTTTCCCAACATACCCATGGATCTGTTCCAGTTTTCATTTATGAAGAATTCTTTATCAGGAGTCTCCATTCTAGTCTATTTGTCTACCTCTATTTCTGTAACACTTAACCTTGATTACTATAACCTAAAGTCACTAATGCTTCCTTATTCTTCATCTTCAGAAAGTTGTTTTGGTTATTCTTTGTACTTTTTTCTCCATAAAAATTTTAGAATTAGTTTGTAATCTTCCTACAAACCCCTGTTGGAATTGTCAGTGAAACAGAAATTTTAACATTCTTTATCAGACATTTTCCGATCCCATCCTCCCAACAAACCCAAAAGATAATTGGGTTACTATTCTATTACTATTTTATGAGAGAGAGAGAGAGAGAGAGAGAGAGAGAGAGAGAGAGAGAGAGAGAGAGAGAGAGAATAGATGATAGATAGATATAGATCTGAAATGTTTAGTAACATGCCTAATTTCATAAGGCAGGGCTGAAATACGAATCTAGATTTCTAAATGGTGCTGACTTTTGTGTGTGTTTGGCTGGTCTGTTTATTTTTAAGATTGTGAATATCCCTTTTTTCTATCAACAGCCTTTCACATTTTTTGGTATAGTCATCTACACACAAGACTTGTTCAGTGCTTTTGTGATTTTAACCATAAAGAGGAAGAGAAAAACAAGAAAGGCATGGTGAGTAGTGAAAAAAAGGAAAACCTCCATTATTTTCTTTACCTGAACATGTGGTCTTTTTCCAAGTCATAGTTTCTCTGACCTTCAACGTGCCAGTCTTTTATTTATATAAAATGAGTCTTTATTACATAGATCAGAGCAATGATGGAACTGGCTTCTTTGCTCTTGCCCTGTGTTTTTGGTTAACTTGTATGGAGTTCTGTGATAACAACATAAAATTCTCTAAATTGACTCTGCTACTGTTTTTGGAAGACATGCTTAGAAATATTTGAAGAATTTCCTTTTTAGAAACAGTTCAATAATTTTTATAAATGAATATCCAATTATGAACAGTAAAAAATGACCAAGAAAGGAGAGAATCTAAAAACACATGCTATTTTAAGTATTTTGGTTAGTAAAAATATTTTCTAACCACAATCTGAAGTTTTCAATGTGTATTTTACAAAGATTTTTTAGAAACTATGCTTAGATTTTACTTTGCCTTAATGTTATTTTTTCTATCTTTATCTAAAATCCATCCTGAGCCAAAAAATAATTTTAAAAAATTTGAAATAAATATGTATTAAGTTATAAGTTCATTAACCAATCAACTGTAAAATGTAAAAAAAATAAATTAATTCATTAAAAATTCCAATGACTTAACCCACTCAAAAACTTTAATAGTACATAATATAAAGTCTTATAGTATTAAAGGTGTTCATTAATTTGATTTTCCAAAATTATATTTTGTTTACTTTCATCTGTGAATCAGTACTGCTCTTTAAAATTGTATGATCTTTTGTTGAAACAGAAAACAAATCTGGAAAGATATTATTGTTATTACTGATAGATAAATAGTTTGCAATTTGAAAGGCAGGTAGGAATTATTATGGTGTAAATGCATGTCAACCAGAAAGACAAATGACTGAAGTATTACCTGTTCTCCCCACCACCTCCCCCAAACAAAACCCTAGCTTCACTGTGTGGGAACACTTCCAAGAGGCAATATTCATTCTACTAAACATCTCCCACAGTATGTAGCTATTGGTACCTCAGGACAGACTGAAAAAAGAGAAAGGGAAACAGGAAAAGGGGCAGACAGCTGGATTAGACTGTGCTGTGTATATTAGTGATGGGTAGACTTCAAAAGACTTAGAGGTTCATTTTGGACAGGTGCCCAGAGATTCTCAGGCTTACCCCAAAACCTTCCATAACTTCTGATTTTAAAATTGAGCTAGAATGATTTTGAGACCAGACTTTTGGTCTTCAGTCATATTCCACACCCATGGTCCTTACAATAAATGTAAGTTAAGAGATTTAAAACTTTCTGAATCCTGAAAAATGAGATATCTATTTTAAATACTTACCTAACAAAATACTATGTTTTAAAGTCTTGTAAAAAAAAGTCAACATTTTTTCCAGAGAGGTAGAAATGTCTTAAAAACATTTACCTCTTGAGTCCAGTTTTAAACAGTGTTAACAATGACACTTTTGAGCATGTTTTGGGAGACAGGTGAAATCTTCATTTGAGTTCCAATTCATCTATGAAGACTGGTAACTTTACATCTCTGATTAATGTGTGTCCTCATCCACAAACTCCCAGTAAGTGGTAGCCTGAGAGGCAGCCTCTCAAGGTGATACACCATTGATATGGGTCTTGTATATGAATGAGAGACTATCTGAAAGAGTTGACAGGGAATTTGTCACTCCAGTTGCAGGACCTCCTTTTAACTGAGCACAGTGAAGGTTAGCCTTTAAATAATATGATCATTCTTTAGTCTGATGATCATGTGTCTAATTAAACGTGCTTCTTAAATGGCTCACGTAAGATTTATTATTACTAACAAAGCCTACTATGGGAAAAGCTACTTTTACTAGACGCTGAAAATTATTTTTTGATACAAAGAATAAATTTCTGGTATTAGCTTTGAACCAAAATAAACTACTTTGTATTTGTTAGTATGATTCTGAGGAAGGCATGGTTTTCAACTTCTCTAGAAAAGACGACATAGGATGTGGACTGAATAAGCTGTAACATAATAGACACAAACTAGTTTTTAGGGCATTCACCACTAGAATCTCCTTAAATAGAACTTATACAGTCATCTCAGGGAAGGACTGTTTTCATTACTTGATTTATGAATATGTCCCTTCCAATATTCCACAGTCAGCAACAGGTGCTCCAATGCCCAATCTTCATGGTATTGCATTAGGCTCTCCATTATGTATGAATAACAATTACTCTCCAAGAGAATTAGATATATTAGCAAAGAAAGCTGCATCTGGGACAAATAAATTTACAATTTATTATATGCATAATTTTACATCCAAAGGCTTTTAAGCAATAGCAGCTAGATAACAACTAGTTATATTTATAGTTCAAAGTGCCCCAATCTCTGAAAAGCCATTACCATAACAATATTTTGATGTCAGTCCATATTTTACATGAAAATGTACAGTTCCTGCCAAAATAGCAGTAGCTTATTTAGATATGCATGCTCTACTACAATAAAAGTGTAAAAATTAGTAACAGTTGTTCCATGTCAATCGCATGCTGAAAGCAGATCCTCAACAGATATGAAATCTGGAATAAGACGTACATCTCCTTATAGTTCTTTTCTAGGATTTTTCTAAAGCAGACCTCATTTGATATTTCAAACCATTTCTAACCAAGACAGCACTTGTAATTTGAACTATTTTGTATCGTTTTGCCCATTCTTTTTCAAGCTCCTCCAATCACTCTTCTCTCATTTACTTGATTTTTAAATTTTCTTACTATTGCAATAAATACTTAAAAAGAAGACCAAAATCAATAATATCTACCAATTCTACTGTTTATGATATATACCAAATGAGAAACAGGAATAACAAGCAGAAATTAATTTCATTGTTAATTTAACATATAATTTTTTCTTCCCCAAACATTTCCCCAAATCCATTCATATATGTAACAGTAATCAAATAAACAAATCTGAGCGCCAAGATCTATCTTCTACTCTAGCTTTGGAGCCTATGACTATTTGAGAATTAATGTAAAATAAACACTATAAATTGTTCTTCAAACTATTAAGAAAATTAATACTGTACATTGAAGATATTCATTCATTTGTTGGTTAATCATTTCTAGAACACCTACCATGTTCAGTGTTTACCTCAGGAGTCTATTATAAGAAAATGTAAATTCAGCTATTCATATATATTCACATAATAAAGAAAAGCAAAGTAGTTATATTTTTAAGTATTGTAGTATACCATTCTTACATTATGGAGTAAGCAGTGTTTGAGGTAATGTGTCACTAATCCCCACACCTTTAAAAAATATTTTAGAGCAGCGTTAACACACGTCCACTCAAATACATTAATGTTTACATCTCCACTGACTCATTTGGCCCAAACGAGCTCATGTGCTTTCTCAAGTAGACAAATGAAAAGGGGATTTGAAGAGGCATTTGATAAATTACAAAGAAATAAACAATTAGAACCTCATACTTTTACCCAAAAGAACTTTAAAATAAGGAATGTCATAGTATCTATTTGCTTGTATTTGAAGGACGCATACTATATGTCATAATATACATACACTGTACTTAATAGTGTTTATCTCTGCAAATGCTTCCTAAAGACCAGCATAACTGAAATAATAAGTAGAAAAGCATCAAAATCTACACCCTTTCCATCATTATTTAATTTATTGAATAACTTTCAAAAATCACATACGCAATATACTACTTAAAAACATAACCATATAAACTGCTTTGGAAATTGTGTATTGACAAGTTCATAATTTCTTACTTCTATATATTTAAATTAAGACTTCAATAAATACACCAGTAAATGCATTTATTATTAAATAGAAATTTCTTTAAAAATTCAAATCTTAACGTATTAAAAATATAATAAAAGACTTTTTTGTTCTTTAGTATGCAAGAATTAGATTGCTTGACCTCTCTTTTAATGACTTAATTAGCTGTACTAAAGCCCAGCTGGGCCTCTGCTGACAACATAGCTAGATATTTCAATCAAGCAGTGTTATGGAGAATAAGTAATAAATGCTACCTTGTCGCCATACAGTCCCAAACCATAGTGCATGCTGGTAATGCTAAATTTGATCAGTATGCCTCGTATTTCAATTAGTCGTGGTCTGAATCCCTAAAACTGTGTAATGTGTATGAATTCCTGATATCAGATACAGAACCACAGTCTCCCACAGTTAGAAGCCATTGAGTTTGCTTTTATTAGCAGCCAATTAATGGCAAAAATCTGCATCGCTTTTAAAATTTATAACCTCCATTCCAGCTGCATCCACGGCTCCTGCTATACTGTATACAGTCAGATCTATATCACTGTCGCAAGTCAGACAGCTGCAAACTGTATTCTGTCCGCAGAAGTAAAAAATCCTTTCATACAGAAGCTTTTTTTAACCTCTTAGAAGTTCTTTTCAAAGCCCAGCAGCACTAGTCACTTTGCGACAATGAGCGATTTAATACAGAAAGAAAGAAATCTACACCAAGGTAACCTCTTGGGATGTGCTAGGTTTTCAAACGGAGTGAAACCCTACCACTCCGGCAATGCACAAGGGCAAGCAAAGCCACTTCTCCTGACCAAGGCTAAGAAAATATAAACATATAAAACCTGACCCTCATCCAAAGTTAACCCATTGAAGTCTCTGTAATCATTAAAACAAAGTGATATAACACAACTTCAATATTAAGTAACTTACATAAAATCTTGGTATACAAATTTGTATGCCCGAACCTTAGATGTTTCCCTAATATTACATCTGTGGAGATCACATTCCCCATCAAGAAGCAGTTTATTACATACCTCAAGATTTCTGGACATTATTTTTAGGAGCCAGGCTCTTTCTGACATATGATAAGACAGGAAATTTAGATGTGATCAGATTTAGTAACGAGCACAATTGCTTTACGTATAGCTAATGCTGTCCTTTCAAGATTATTAAGAGAATAGTTCGGCTTTATGGTGTTATATATTTAAGTTGCCTTATACGTAGTATTCTGTGAGGCCTGAAATATTTGATATCTGATCATTATAATGTTATTTGGGAGAAATAAAGTAGAAAGTTTCTTCCTTTAGTCTTCTACAAAATGGCATTAAATTTTAAAATACATAATAGATATGTTTATATTAATACATATGTATACGTTTTTATGTTTGTTTAACATAGGATTTAAAAGATAGATAAAAGAATTTACCTGGAAAAAGAGGAGCATGAAAAATACTCACCAACGTTAATACATGGTAACAAAAATGTTGTACTAGGATAATACAAAGTGCTGCCATGGCTATTTAAAGACAACAAAATCCTATTTTACAAATTTCAACTGCTAATAACCAGCATTCTTTCTAACTGCTTAAATACTGCAGTAAGACTTATAATGCCACTGTGAAATCATAAGCTAGTACTTCAAAGGTGTTGTATCTGTTACAAATTTAATCTTCACTGCTTTGTCACAACTGATTTCATCCCAGCAGCTTGGAGATGCAGCATAACAACATTCTTGTTGTCCTAGACAACCTGAACCAAACTGTTAAATACCTGCCTGATGCCCATGAATGATTATAATATTGCCTATGGAATCTCCCAACAACCACACTCAAAATGTGCAATTAGTCTGTTCCAGTTAATAGGAGGAGAAAAGTATGCTTTACGACGTTCACAAATTGTAGGCATTTTAATGGCAGAGACAGAAATTCTGTGCTGTATTTCAAAAATGGCACAGTATTGTGTTCATTGTAATAAAATATTATGTCTTCTTTTAATACTTGATGTTAGTACATTTCACAACTATGCAAGTTAACATAGGTTTGAATCTAAAGTAATTTTCTTCCCACATGAGGAAATATACTATTTCATTAACTATAATGGATATTAGAAGTTCGTTTTGTTTCTAAATACCAAACATTTTTGTCTTTGAAATATGTTTCTGAAAAAGCAGCTGTAAAGCAAATGTTTTTGCTTCCTCCCAGGTATACAGTGACACACCGTTTGCGGCAGGAGCGAGGGGAACTGATGTGAACAACTAAATGAATTTGTGTTCATGAAGTTGTTCAGACAAGGAGCTGATGGAGCAGGGTATTGAAATCTCCTTGCATATTGGAGTTCAGTTATAAAGCATTAGGTTAAATTTAACTCCTCAGAGTCATTATGAACATTTGTAGCTCTCTGGGACAATTTTAGAGCCATCAACTGGCACATGAATGTAGCACTCTACACTATATGTAGAAGTGTGTAAATACGCAAGCATCTACCCCACCCCATAACAATACTGTGTTATTATTCCACAAGACAGCACTTTGAATTTGAAACCTTTTAAAATTACTAATCCATTGCTCTTCTCATGGAACATCTCAACTACTTCATTTGAATGTGCTATTTAAATAATACTAGGAAGCACTTCTCAATGAATATTTAATTTAATTACTGAGTACTATGGTTTAAATATTCCAACCAAGAATTATAATGCATAGAAAATTATATTTATTATATATCTCAAAAACCATTGAAACTCCTGAAGTTCTAGCAAAGATGACTATTCTCCATGAAATACACATCATCATTACAATGTCTGTGTTAGTCATAGTATGAATAAGATCTGTATGTCTTCAGTGAATTTAATAGCTTAGAAGATGGCACAATGTAACTTCCAAAAAAATGAGAACACAGTTTTGTTTATGTGAAGACCTTGCATAAAATAAAATATAAATGAATCATATTTAACACAAGATATGAAAACTCAGTTTGCAGGCAAATTAAGCAAAAACAAAATATGCTTATTATAAATATCCTATCCTTATTAGGAAACAATTACATTATTTTTAGTAGATTTTTAATTCCTCCAGATGTGCCACTTAAAATGATTTGATTCCAAACTACTAGTGATTTAAGTTTAAACACATCCTTTAACTAGCATGGTAGTGACATATTAAGTTGCCCATATGCAATTCACACTTGTGCCTTTTCTCTGCCATTCATAAATTATGCAATTATCCCTAACTCATGGAAATGAAAGTGCATTAACTGCCCACTGTCATGTATTGTCTCTTTCTATGTCCTTGCGCACACATTTCCACAGCTCATTATTCATGGATGCATCTATGCAAGTGTAAATGTACACACATAATATGGAAATAGTCACAAATGGATAAATAGCAACCAGACACTTGTTTGTAAAGATATATGTACTTCATTCCAAATAACAAAATTTAACAAGGAACACCTCTATCCTTATTATGGATGCCACAAGGTAAACAAAACGGATGCCATTGTTATAGAGTAATAGAGGGATTTTCTCACGCACGAAGGAATGAAGTTGTTGATGTACAAACCTGAAACAGCACCCTTTCATCTCTGACAACTGTTTTTCTAGCTTTTTCCTCCATTAAGAAATATGCTTTTCAGCATTGATTGAAATCTCACCAGAACACTGTTCAAAAAATACTGACTGTACGTTGTGTTCCTAATCCTTATCTTTTCTTCATGAATGTTAAGATAGAATTGTAATGATGGCATTTTGTTCCTAGAGAAAAAAATTGTTTAAAATAAAGAGTTTTGGGGAAATGAAAAGATTGTGTTTTCTCCATTGAATATTATGGTCATGTAGGTGATTCCAAATTTTGAATTGAGCATCGAAACAATTTGCCCCTGGTGTGATGTATTCCTGAGGAAAATTTTTGGATTTTAGTCTAATAAGCACTAGTGAGCACACACGTGCAACAATCTGTGATAAGGGGAATCATGAGGATTCCTTCTGATTTACATTATTTCTAACATAAACAGATTGTCTCCATTGAAGTAATAATTTCTAGCTAAATAGAATGAATTTTATCAGATATTCAGGTTTTAATTTGTACATAATAAAGTTTTTTAAAATGTTGCTTCAGGCAATAAAAGCAGTATTTAATGACCTAAACAAAAGTAGAATATTTTTTCCACAACACAGATTTTAATTTTATTGCAGATAGTAAAAATTTCATGTTCAGAATTTCTTAAAAATGTTATTTCAGCAAGATAGTCTATTCAGTGTAAACCATATCTACAGAAAATTAATTGGAACATGCTTTTTTTTGAAAACCAATTATTTTATAATCATCTAAGTAGCTTATTAAATGCTATTTAAAATTAAAACTGAAATAATATAGATTCATAATGAGATTTCATTAGTATCTTTATTTTAAGAAAGAATGAAATACTTGATGTCAATATTTTGCTGAAAAATACAACTTTTCTTCATGATTATACATGCTTCTCTTTTTATTTGATTCTTTTTCAAAGCAAATTTAAAATCAACCATCTTTGTTATACCTTGATAGTTAGACAAATCTTAAATCATTCTTACTAAATATTATTAAATATTTTGTTAGTTAAGTTATATTTCAAATTCTGCTGCATTTCTCAAATTACAAATAAATTTCATGATTCTCAAATTTTATAGATATTGATAATATGTAAGAAATCTACTCATTTTAATTAGACACAGTGTGACTGAAAAGCTAAAAAGAAAAATGCCGGTAAGTAAAAGATCAATTTCAAAATCAGAAAAACAATAAAAATAAACAGGTGGAAATATTCCCCATTTTAAGTTGCAGTATGTAGGAAATGCTTTTCCTTTTAGGAGAAACTTTTTAACAGGTCCAATTACTGCTAAAGTATAAGAAATAAAATGTGTTAATCTCTAACACACCATATTTTTTATGCATGTAAGTTGTAATTCACAGAAATGCTTTTGCCAAGGCAATAAAAATACCCAAGAATAATTTAGGATAAACACAAGTTTTCATTACTTTTCAGTAATTTCACTGACATCATAGATAATGTGTGACCAGTAGAAGGCACTGTTACAATAAATATATACATACGGCTGCTCATTTACAAACTGGTTGGACATTCTGATGAGAGCGTTACCAACTTTTTACAGCACAAATATTCTTTTCATGTAGATATTAAGTTATAAATTTGTCCTGTAAATGTGAAGAAAAAACTCATTGTATAACTCTTTCTTGTGTAATTTTCAGTTGGATTTCAGCCCATTGACAATTTTATTACCCTCATTTTTAATTTAATTCATAAAAGAATTATGTGGTCACACTTACCACCCTTAGCACTGCATTTAAGGAATGTTGCTCTCTTGAGAAAGAACTCAGACTGTTGCAGGATTAGACATAGATTCAATGTAGACCTTGCTTCAAAACAAGCTTCTAGTTTCATTCTTTTTAACCTTTAGAGGTTTGATCATAATTTGCTAGAGCATGTAGGCATGGTCTCTTAATGGAACTGCTTGGATGTATAAAAACACCTCTAATTAAATCTCTGTCGAACATACCACTAACAATGTTGTTTAGTTTGTGTTCGTATACAAAAGCTCTTGAATACCTCTCCAAGTTTACAAAATCCATGTTAAAGGAGTCAGCATTGCAAAAAAATGTTACGGCATATGTTTGGATTTTTGTATTTCAGAGTCCTGACTACTTTATCTGAATTACAGATTTAGAGCTTTGTTATGTGTGATAGTTATGATAATATGATCACTAAAGGCACAGAGACAGGGAGACTCAAATCCCTTTGAAAATCCCTTTCTCTATTTCCTACAGCTGCTGCAGGAGTTTAATATCTGATAGAATGATGAAAAAGAACAGGCCGAACTCCAGTTTTAATAAAAATTTTAACAGGTCTACATATAGTTATGAAAAATGTTATTTGCAATGCCGATTTTTAATAAAATTTTCTTAAACCAAAGAAAAAATCCCCAAGGGGAACCTGATATGAATGTGTTTTTCATATGTACTATTTAAGGCTCTTTAAAGGTTATGAAAGTGATTGATAAAAGAAGTTCTATTCTATACAACACAAACCTAAACGCACTTGCACTTTTGCATTTTAATCAAATAAATAAGCAAAGCTTTCATTTTGTGTGTTGGATCAGAAACAAATATTATCATATTGTGTAGTCAATTTTTATTCTTAGCAGGAAAAATTCATATTATAAAATGATGGCATTTTTAAACAAGTCAAAGCACTTCTAACACACACATCAAAGTAATCTATCATCTATGAATGTATGATACTAAGAAATAATACATTCTCATGAAATTGGAATTGTGCTTCTTGTATTTTTTGAATTTAAGAAATCATATAAAGTTTGAAGACTTTTTCCTCACAAGAGAAAATAAACACATTAGGTATGACAAAATGAAATTTGATTTAATCCAAGAGCTTCAGAACTTATAAAGAATCTCACTATAAAGTAAAAACATATTATATGCAGTGGCCTGTGTGGGTGCCTTGTACTGTAATTACCCATTCATCATGATACCACAGCCTGGAAAACAGTCATGAGATAATAAGGCCGTTCACAAAAAAATATGTTCACAAAAAAATAGAAACAAAGTGTTTCTAGGAAATCAGAAAGACATTTTCATTTACCCGTCTAATCTACAGCAACTACAAAATAGGAGGGCCTTGTAACTTCCAAAATGCTAAACACAATCAAGGAGTTCAGTTTTAAGCCTTAAAATGTGTGAGCTGGTATTATTTCCCTTAAAATCATTGCATTCTAGTAAAGCGCTGATTCTCTAGCAACACTGACCTTGTCATTGTTTCTGAAACATTTTGAATATCATAGAAAGACTTTTTAACACAATATGCCATGTGTAATATATTAACATTTTCTTTAAAAACTTGATAGACTTTTTGAATTTGAAACTATCTATACTAACACAAGATAGTCACTCTATTCTTTACAGAGGAGCACGCAAACTGTAACTATAAAGCACAGTCTTTATTTTATCCCTAAATAAATATTCACTTTTGAAAACATTAAATTTATTATGCACTGAAATAAGGAAAGGAAAGCATTACCAATCTTATTATAATACTAAGAATTCCAAGGCTAGAATATTAAGCAATATTCTAAACCTTTGGTCCTCTTGTACAATTTATAACAGGAAATTGACAGTTGTGGATTCATGTCTTATTTATAATCCTACTCTTTAACCATTTTTAAAAAACAACTTTTACATTTCCAGAACCAAAATTACTGATGTATTTTGTTTACTTGATATTTTTCTATATTTTTAGTTAAAAGACATTTTTTGAATGGGGCAGGATAGTGGGTAAGTGCTCTTAATCAGGGGATTTGAGAAAAACTGGTAGACTCAAGGTAGCAAGAATTAAAGAAAGAATAATTCATTGCTGGGACCATATCCCCCCTTGATTTCTGCATTGGGATTACAACAGATTACCTCCAAACAAATATGATTTATCAGATACTTGTAGACACCTTTGATAAATTACACAACTAGGAGTGCAAGTTTCTGATATCATATCTGAAATGTAAACACTTGCTTATAAAACCTATGATGCACAAAAAAAGATGAGACAAAACTAAGCATCACTAAAATAATGCTTCAGCTTTAAACATATCTTAAATTTCCTACATAAAGTATTTTCATGCCATGTTAAGAAAGACAATTGGATATTAATAAAAGTATTTGCTTTCAAATTGTAAACCAAACAACAATATGCTAGCTAAAACATGCTTTGACCAATTTCACTTTTTAAGATATTACAAGGCTCTATAAAATAAAAACTGGAGATGTTTTAGTTTTTCCAGGAAGTCTCCACAAACTATACAAGTGTCCATATAAAATAAAAAGCCATCTTATTTTAAGATATATACTCAAGTTTTTAATGGAAGCTCTCATTAAAAAAACTTAAATCTTACAGCTCCATGTGGCCATGTCCAATGACATGGATTTTTCATCAAAATAGACATTTTTTGTGTCTATTTTAGGCATTTCTATGCTCTAAAATAGTCATTTTTATTCAAATAAAATGAGACATTTAGTTAGATATTAGTTAACATAACTTATTTTACTCTCATAGAGCAAGAAACTATATTCTATAAGCAAATTTCTTCCCCACTAAAATCAAATACACATAAATAAAATTAACTCTGATCAGAAGCCATATAAAATTACATGCTTTTATTTACTAATAAGCAATTTAACATTTTAAGAAATTCTGCATTTTTTCCTGCAAGTTTTACTATACTGTGTTGCCAGTTTATTTGAGTTTTCAGTTATACACAGACCCTGAACAAAACTGTCTATATATGGGCGAAGAAATAAGAGGTGGTCTCTTTTCTTCACAGGTACTGTACATAGTAATTTTAATCCATGTTTTCATCTACATATTTCAAAGGGTTTAAGAAACTAGCAGTTTGTGGGGGAAAATTATAACAACCTGAAAAGTTTAGGTTGCTATTTTTATTATTGAGGAAGTAGATGATATATTAAATATTATCTAAAATTATCTCTCTGCTTAACTTTCATGTTTCCATAGAAACCACTTGAGGTATTTCAAAGCCACAGTAACTCTAACCACTGGTCTTTATAAAAGCTTTTGTAAGCCTGACTGGTGATTATTTTCCCCTCTAAAATTTAATGGCAGGATAAATCACACTGAATACATATATTTAGGTTTCAAATATACAGTATTTTTTAAATAAGTGCATTTATATAAATACAGAGACATGGAGAATAAGAAATTCTCAAATAATACTGATTTTATTTTACTCAGAAACAGAGTATTACCCATTTTTCTACTCTTCAAAACAAATTATCATGAGTTATAAGAACTGTTATAGATTACTGCATA